AAAAAAAAAAAAAAAGTAATAGGAAAAAACTATAAAAATTTCCTGGAGGCAAGAATTTAAAATTGCAGGATAACAAAATATCATACAAGTGTAGTCTTAAATATTAGTGAGACAGAAAACACAATACAAAGGCTTTCTATTTGCAAAGAGAAACAAATTACACTTAAGATTTAATGTGTGACATTTTCTTTAAAGAAAACAGAAAAAAGTACAATGAAAAGAATAAAGGACAGAAAGCACACATTGGCACAGATAAGAGTTCTCAACACAAGTAATCCAGGACAGATAAACCCTCCCGGAACAGGAGTGGGAGTGGTGATATCAGAAGGGTAGGGGGATGGCCCCGGAGGGGGAAGGGGGAGAAAGAGGGAACCCATCACAAGGTTGGATATATAGTCTGAACCCCAAAGGGGACGAATAACAGAAATGTGGGTGAAGGGAGACAATGGGCAGTGTAAGATATGAAATAACAACAACATTATATAATTGATCAAGGATTCACCGGGGGGGAGGGTGTGGTGCGGGGGTGGGAGTGGGGGGGGCGCGAAAAGAGCTGATACCAAGGGCTCAAGTAGAAAATGTTTTAGAAATGATGATGGCAACATATATATAAATATGCTTGGTACAACTGATGTATAGAGTGTTACAGGGGCTGTAAGAGTCCCCAATAAAGTGATTTAAAAAAAAAAAGACTGCTAGTCCAAGATTCAGGTAGCCATGTTGATGTGAGTCTCGGTGTGTTTGTAGCATGATCCAACCATGTGAACAGAATGCAGACATCAGAAGTCAACTTGACGGGTGAATGTGGAGCACATCCAAGTATCCAGGTTTCCATGTAAAACTAGCACAGATGGATAAATAAGGACTCAGGATTCTCATTCTTTACAATATTATGAAAATTTGTAAAAAAGAAAAGAAAAGAAAATTTGTTATGATCAGTAAAGTACTCAGTAGAAAAAAGTACAAAGAAAGATTAAAGGGAAACTCCTCTTTCTCCATGCATATGTGCAGGACTAACCATGACTCGTGCTTGGGAAGGCAGGATGTAATGAAGACAAACATTAACTGCTATAAAGATTCTATACAAAGTCAAGTACAAATCCTCAATATCGATGTTTCTCTAAAATATGACGTGTTGGTTGTGACATTCACCTGCAAGGCTCGTCAGACGGTAGTTTCTTCCTTGCAAACAGCCTGAAGCAATGCACAGATAGCTGTGATGCCAGCATATTAACCCTAACAGATTTTGTTTACATTTTAAACAAATGACCATATATTTTTCTGCTCTTCCACAAGCATCATACACAATAGATAACATCAATAACTGCAAATACCCTGCTTTTAGCACTGAAAGATTTAAAAACCCATCTGGCCAAAATCATGATTGCCAAACCTCATAACCTTGGGATAAAAGCTGAAAATTCATGACTCATTCAGCATGCATTGCAGAACTGTTTGTGGCCCACAGGTCCCGGCCAGGCACTGTTTGAAGGGCTGGGTGTAGAGTGATGAATCAGAAAGCAAAGTTCCTCCTCTTGGGGAGAAACAAACCAGCAGCAAGTCTGTAGTGAGACCATCTCAGAGGGTGTTCAAAGCTGTGAAGACAAATGCTGTCCTAGAGGAGGGGTAGAGGGCAGGGCTGTCTTTGATTTGACCTTGAGAGAGGCCTCTGAAAACAGGTGGACTTTTGAGGTAAGAGCTGCGGAACTGAATGGGGTTTCCAAAATCCAATTCAATTGATTGTATCTCAATAAAGTTGCTTTTGAGGCTGGGCTAAGTGACCCATAAATGATTTCAGAGAGGAACCTGGCAGTTTTCACCCTAACTCTAACCTTACATTGAAGGATTGTGTGATCCACATTCAACACCGTGACTGGGATTAGAACTCCTAAAATTGGGCAGGTGATAAGAACAGACAATTCACACACCAAGAGAAAGAATTCCAGAAAGCAAATAAACATACACACACACCCCAAATTATATATACATAATGCATGTTAAAGTTAGAAGATACTAAATTTCATCTACAGAGATGGCAAAAGATGGAAAGGCTGAAATTATTCTGTGCCCTCAAAGGTATAGAGAGAGACATCCGTACATCTCGCGGCTGGAAGATGGACAGGTCTTGCCAGCAATCTGAGAGAATCTTTAAAAGTTTTCAATTTGAGCACACATTTAAAGTACATATCTCTGACTCAGCAAGTAGGATCGATTCTACTGAAATAGGAGCCCAGGGGCCTAAAAGTGCATATGTACAAAGATGCCCAACTGCAGCAGTGTCTTCAATAGTTGGAAAGAATCCTACAAGCCCATCAGTTGTGGGAATGGTTGGGTAGGTCAAGCCACCGCAGAGGACAGGGTACCGTATAGAGCCAGGGAGCCCTATGTACAGGCCACGTTGATCAACGGAGAGAGAGGTGGATGGCTGTAACCCAAAAGGTAGGAGCGACCTTGGCTCGGGTGTCTATTCATATAAACAGAGGACAGCACCGGGAAGACTCGGCACCACACTCCGTAGCAGGAGCTTCAGCGGCAGGCAGGTGATTGTTGGAAAAGGAAGAGGAAGTTTTTCAAGGCTTAGCTTTACACACTTGTAATAGAGAAGAAAAATCCAATCTTTTAAAGAAATGTTGCATGCCGCTGAGTGGGCTCCCATTCATAGTGATCCCACGGGACAGAGCATTACTGGCCCACAGGGTTTCTTACGCTACCATCTTTAGGGAGTCATCACCACCTCCATTCTCCTGAGAAGCAGCTGGGGGTTCGAAAAGACCGACCTGTCAGTTAGCGAGGGAACACTCAACCACTGTCCCACCAGAGCAGGGGTGCTCAACCTTCCTAATGCTCGACCCTTTCATACAGTTCCTCATCTTGTGGTGACCCCCCACCCCCACCATAAAATTATTTTCTTCGCTACTTCATCACTGTTATTTTGCTAGTTATGAATCGGGTGACCCCTGTGAAGGGGTCGTTTGACCCCCAGTGGAGTTACCACCCCCAGGTTGGGAACCACCAATTACTAGATGATCATTCACCCAACAGGGAAGGCATGTGGAAGGAGCCCTGCGATGGCCCTAAGACATACAGATGTTTACAGGTATACTCTGTGTGTGTGTGTGTGTGTGTGTGTGTGTGTAAGTGCAGCTAAAATGTAACTGAGTGGCTATCAAAATGACAGGATGGGGGAAATGGAGCTGGCAAGCATTATTTTTAAATGTTTGTAAATGAAAGAAATACGTAACTGCTCTCAGGAAGGAGGTGGAATAGAAATTCCGGCCAAGCAACTTAGAACGATGTCAGTGAAAGGGAAAGACAGAGGTAAGGGTGTCATTTTGAGATGAGGAAATGCATGTTATCACACGGAAAATCTCGTTCTTAGTCTCACAAGTAGAGCTGCACGCTCAGCCGACTTTAAGACGGCCTTATGCACAAGCCGAACCCAAAGCCAAACACACTGCCATGGCGTTCATTCGGACTGCTAGCGACTCTATAGGAGTACAACTGGCGCCACCGCCAACGGTCCTGGAGGCAGCCGGCCACGTCTTTCTTCCAGGGAGCCGCAGTCGAGCACTTCAGCACTGCGCTATCAGGACGCCGCAGACACCAAGCCTAGCCAAACTCCCTGCCCTTGAGTGGCTTGTCCTCCTAACGAGCCGATGGGTAGGATGGGGTAGCACTGCCCCTGTGGGTTTCTGAGACGGTCACTCTTGACGGGCGTGGAAAACCTCATGGTTCTCCCACAGAGCAGCTGCTGGATTTGAACTGCTGGCTTGCTTTGCAGTGAGCAGCCTGATCTGCACACCAGGGCTCCTCCTTACAAACATGCCGACCCTGGATGCAAGCTAGTCACTGAGCACAGACTGAACGTGTCGGGCCTGGTGCTTTGCCTCCATTTGAATCCTCACTTCCGTCGGAGCTTGCTCAAGGTTACAGAGCTGGCCCTCAGAGGAGCCGGAATTCAGCCCCCTATCTGAAGCCTCTGCTGTATCACCTCCTACGATTTCCAGATAAGACTCAACGCTGCTGGGCAAGCGGGCCTCCCGAAGAACCTGCTCACAGCCCGAGCACCTCCTAGGCGAGCCAGCTCTCTGGGGTGCCTCTAAGGCTCAGGAATCCGTAAACAAGTTGGGACTTTCTTCTAGTTTTGCTCTCAGACTGGAATCCACTTGAACCATCTCCAAAACCAAAGATGGAGACTTCAGGAGTTTCCGTTAGAATTGCCCGGAGGCCTTTGTGATAACTGACCACCAGGGCTGGTTGCCATGGCGCCCACAGGCCCTGGTGGGGGGAGGGGGAGCCTCAGAGTGTCCTGAAGCCAGTCCTTCCCTCCCCGCTCCCACTGCGTTTCCCACCTGTTGAGCTCCTGTGGCCTCCTAGACACCTAGGTAGTAGCCTCCACCTCTTGTTGCTCAGGGCCCTCACACTTCCTCAACTCCATCTCATCACGCTTTCCCTCGCCCCTCACGTCTTCCCACCTCTGGGTGCCCTCGTGCCGGACACAGCCTCCTCCAGCCTTTTATTCCTGGTCCCACGGTTTCTCCCGCTTGTGTCTCATCTCTGGCCTCTCATCTCTTCCCCTGGGCTCCGCCTCAGTCCTCGCCTCCCTCCCCTCTCCTTTACATCTCGGCCACTCTCTGCTCTCCTTCTCTCTCCTGCCACTTCATTCTCCTTATCCCTTCACTCCAGTCCTCTCCCCGTCTCTTGTCATTCATTTCATTGCTCCCTCCCTCCCTCCCTCGCTCTCTAAGCTTTCCAACCACCCAGTGAGCTGGCTCTGCCCGCTCTCTTCCAGGAAAATGATGGGGCCCGAGAACAAAGATCAATGGGCAGAGACTGCTTACCAGCTGAGGTCAACGCCAAGGTCTAGTAGGGCCTCGAATGCTGGAAGGAAAATACAGACGAAGAAGAAAAACAAGAAAAAAAACATAGAGGACCTGAAGAAGGAAGTGGTCATGGTAAGAACATCCATGATCGGTGCTGACAACTGGCCCTCGAAAAACTCTCTCCCTCGACCCTTTGAATCTGGTCTTGAGACCCAATTGCACAGGCCAGCGCCATCTTCTCCCTCAGCGTGCTTCTCCCCACCCCCACCCCACCCCCACCTGGCGGAAGCGATCTGGGCTCACCTTTCCTCTCGATGACTCTGTCCCCTCAGGATGACCACAAATTGACATTGGAACAGCTGAGCACCAAATATTCCGTGAACCTGGCAAGGGTAAGTGAAGGGCGCTCCCTGAGGGAGGCAGAGGGGTCCCCTTCTCGGCTGCTACGGCTCAGAAAACCAAATAAACTCACTACCATCAAGGTGATTCGAACTCACCTCTATAGGACAGAGTAGAACTGTAAATCGTCATGAGGGTAGAAAGCCTCATCATCATTCTCCTGAGGAGTGGCCGGTGGTTTTGAACTGCCGACGTTGAGGATAGCAGCCCAACGTGTAACCCAGATTGCCATTAGGACTGTCAGTGTAAAAGCAGAGCTAGAAATCAAGTCCCTTCACTTAGAACCCAGTGTTCTTGCCTCTTAACTTGTCAGGCCAAGTTCCATAAGGCATGTACTTGGGGAAAGATGGTAGTGGTCACTAGTCCCGGAGAGGTCCGTGCTAGGAAAGAGAATGGGCATAGTTTAGCCAAGTGACTCGCAGACTTTTTGGACTCGGCTCCTTTACATTCTTATACATTATTGAGACCACACTCTCACGAACTTCTGCTGCTGTGGGTTACATCAACCGATATTTACCATATCATAAATGAAAACTGAGAGATTTAAAAGATACTTAAGGATTCATTGAAAAATAACAAGAGCAAGCTCATTATACCTGCAGAATTAGGAAAGCAATATTTTTATGACACATTCCCATGTTTCCCAAAGCAAAAAGAAACTAGTGTCATTATTTCATATCTTGGCAAACCACCTTCATGTCTATGTTTTCATTTGTTTGCTTTTTTTAATAGAAGAGAGCTGGATTTCCATCTTTTCTGCATTTAGTCAGCTGGGAAATCCCATTGTCCATTCTTAAGAGAGAGACAGTGAAGAACAAATAATGACTTAGCATGATTATAAAAATTATTTGACCTTATAGACTCCGTGAAAGGTCTTGGGAACTCCAGGGCTTCCCAGACCACACCTGGAGAACTGGCTTCTCGGTAAAACTCATCACCATGACCACAGTTGCTGAAGCTACTACTGCCACGAGTCCTAGGACCCACAAATGCAAAGCTGGCGTCAAACCCTCGATGTACGCCTGCCTCTGAGCTCTAGACTTTCTCTTCTGGAGAGGCTTAGTACGACCATCTGACTGTAAGCTCTGAGGAGCATGGAGGCCTTGTATTTTTTTTTAATTAAATTTAAAAAAATTTTTTTGAAAAAGCATCAAGTTTAAAAAGCAAATCTTTTTTTTTCTTTTTGCCTTGATAAGATATTTATTAGATTGCATTTCATAGAATTACATGGTCAGTAATTTCGTGTATTTTTTTTCTTTTTTTTTTAATCAATTTATTGGGGCTCATACAATTCACAATACATAGATCAATTGTGTAAAGCACATCTATACATTTGTTGCCCTCATTATTCCCAAAATTCGCTTTCCTCTTGGGTTCCCGGAACCAGCTCATTTTCCTTTTTTCCCCTCCCCCTCCCTTCCTCCTCTCCCTCTCCCCCATACACCCTTGATAATTTATAAATTATTATTGTATCTTATATTACACTGTCCAGCGTCTCCCTTCACCCACCCCTCTGCTGCCCATCCCCAAGAGAGGAGGTTATATGTAGCTCCCTGTGATCCATTCCCCCTTTCTACACCCCCTTTCCCTCCTGGTATTGCCACTGTCACCCCTGGTCCTGAGAGGTTCATCTGTCCTAGATTCCCTGCGTTTCCAGTTCCCATCTGTACCGCTGTGCATCATCTGGTCTAACCAGGTCTGCAAGGCAAAATTAGGGTCCTGGTAGTTGGGGGGAGGGGCTTGTATTTTTATTAAACTTGTATGTTTGTTAGGGGGTAAGGTGTGATTGGCAGGAATTGAATTTGTTTTATGATACTGGTAGATTCTACCGATATTTCCGTGTAAGAAAACATCACACACTGAAGCCTAGAGTGAGAACTTAACGCTTTCTAGTATTGAGTGAAGGGTTTGCCTACTTCTAAGTGACTCTCTCAACATTGAGTCTGGTATTCTATCATTAACTTGACCTTGTGCTTTGTCATCATTTTATCTTAGAATTCGTTGTCTACTTTTATCTCCCCATTGGAGTTTGATACCATCTCGTTGACTCCAGCTCATGGGGTTCCCCACGTGCCAGAGAGCCTACCGTGCTCCATGGAGTTGTCTTGACTACAATCTTTTTTTTTTTCTTTTAATAAATCATTTGAGGAAGGCTCTTACAGCTCTTAAAACAATCCGTACATCAATTGTATCAAGCACATCTGTACATATGTTGCCATCATCATTTCCCAAACATTTTCTTTCTACTGAGCCCTTGGTATCAGCTCCTCTTTTTTTCCCTTCCTCCACCACCCTTCCACCCTCAACTACAATCTTAAGGGAAGCAGATTGTCAGGTCTTTCTTCCGCGGCATTGCTGGGTGGGTTTGAAGCACCAAACTTTAGAGTAGTGGTTCTCAACCTTCCTAATGCTGCAACCCTTTAATACAGTTCCTCCTGTTGTGGTAAGCCCCCCAACCACAAAATTATTTTCATTGCTACTTCATCCCTGTAATTTTGCTACTGTTATGAATCATCATGTAAATAAGCACTTGATATGCATGAAGTATTTTCATTGTTACAAATTGAACATAATTAAATAATAGTGATGAATCATAAAAACAATATGTAATTATATATTGTGAAATATTTATTTCTAATGACAAATAAATTAAATTTTATCTTGAAGCATGGTGTAGTATGGGTAAAAGTCTTCATGCTGGGGACTCGTATGTGGGCGTATCAGCATGTGAGTGGACCCACCTGGAGACAGATAGGATAGAAGAGTGGTGTCTCGGTTCCTAAGACCATCGGAAATAGGTGTTTTTCCTTGGTCATCAGCGACCCCTATGAAAGGATCATTCGACCCCCAAAGGGGTCTCGACCCACGGGTTGAGGACCGCTGCTGTAGAGGATCAGTAGATGAGCACAAGCCATCAGAGCTGGTGGTTCCAACCCGCTGGTCGGTACCACCCAAGAAAAGGCCTGGCGACCTGTTTCCGTGAAGATGACAGCCCAGAAAGCCCTACGGAGCAACCCCCCTCTGTACACCGGGGTCGTCAGGAGCCGGAATTGAGTCCGTGGCAGCCAGCCGCAATAACGGGGGAGGAGAGGCCATGCATACTCCTTTTGATATCCTCAGCACCTATAAGTCCCAAGATAGGTGTTCAAAAACATTTATGAACTGATCCGTCCATGAAAGACTCTTCTTACGTGCACGCTGTAAAAGACGCCCCTCCATCAAGATGTTCCTTCTGTAAATGTTAAACCCCCACCCCAACTAGGGAGCACTCCCAGACCCGCCGAGAGCTGCTGTGAGCTAGAGGCGGCAGGTGTGGGATCTGAAGTGAGATTTTCTTTTCCTTCCAGACGACTGCTTCCCTTCTCACAGCTCTCCCCCGCCCCTCTTCTCTCCCACACAGGGCCTCACTCCGGAACAGGCTCAGCAGATCCTAGCGCGAGAGGGACACAATGTACTCACTCCACCCCCCACCACTCCAGAATGGGTCAAGTTCTGCAAACAGATGTTCGGTGGCTTCTCCATGCTGCTGTGGACTGGCTCCATCCTCTGCTTTGTGGCCTATGGCATCGAGTCCTATTTTTATAGTGAGAGCCTCAAAGACAACGTGAGTCTGTTCCACTACTACTGTCCAACCCAGAGCCCACTCGGCCGCTGATACAATCCTGCTCAGCGCCCTAGCATTCCTGATGCCCCGACCCCAATCTCTCATACTCCTCCCCGGCCTTTGTCGGGGAACGGGAGTCCGTCTTGGTTCCCCTAGCCTGATGTTTTGGACCACGGGACACATGGTTTCCCCAGACACTTGCTCCAGTTGACAATCTCCCGAACTGGCCATCTAAGTACTTTGTAGTCTCTTTCTCCAGTCCCTAGAATTGAAACCTCCTTATCTCCACCTTCCCCCCTGCCCTGCCATGACGAGCAGTCCCGGAAAGGAAGATCTATAGGCCTTTGATCTGGGATTTCGCAGACCCCTCACCACAGCTCAGCGATCCTTCAGGGAGAGGTCAGGTCTGAGAGCCCCATCACAGCCTCTTCTCCAACAGGATCCTATGGTTTCTTCTGCTTAGACAAATGGCTGCTGCCCTGGCAAGCTGATTTTCTGGGGAGAGAGGGAGGAAGAAGCGGACCTAATGATAAATCCTTTCTCTCCCCACCTGTAGCTGTACCTGGGGACGGTCCTAGCCATTGTGGTCATCATCACCGGCTGCTTCTCCTACTATCAGGAGGCCAAGAGCTCCAAGATCATGGAGTCTTTTAAGAAGTTGGTGCCAGAGGTAGGCCTGGTGCGGGCGGACCTGGTGCAGGGCGGCATGGAATGTGCAGGGCGGAATGGCACAACCATGGAGTCCCCGAGAGAGCGCTGTCCTGGGATGAGTGAACTGAATGGGGCCAGTGATGAGGGTGGGGTTCTTTGAGGTCCTCTGTCAATGGCCAAGAAGTCCTTGGGGGGAAGGCTGCGGCACTCTGAGACGGGCACACCACCACTTAGGACGCACGCTAGCGTGGAAGCCATAACCTGACGCTAATCCTAAGGAACTGCCATACAAGCCCAAATGAACATACTCTATGGGGGGAAAAGGACAGGGGCCCCTTAGACACGGTTCAAAGCTAGAACCAAGCCCAGCCCTGGAGACGGCCTGCAGTCAACAACAGAAGCGAGCTCCTGTGAACGATTGAAGGATGAGAGCAGAAGCAAGTGCAGAAAGGCAGGGAGGGGCAGGAAAGATGGGGGAGTGGAAAGGGAGAACCCAGGGAGGAAGCGGCAAGAACGCAGTACCATGAGAGGATTGCAACTAAGCTCGTGAGGCAAAATGTGTCTTCACGGTTGAGCGGAAGATTCATTTGCTCTGAAAACTTTCTCCCAACCCCCAGTAAAATATCTTTAAAAGGCTGGATTCCATACCATGTCAATGGCGTAAAAGACAACAGCTGTGTAACTGGTCCAGGTCAAAGGAGGCTAGAGAAGTGTCACAACTGAAGCCAATACCTGGCTGGGGCTGGAGCCTGGTTCTGGAGGTGTAAGGGATACTGCTGGGTCAGCTGAGAGAGCTAGAATACAGACAGCAGGTTGGGTAGAAGCCTTGCCTCAATGTGAAATCAACCACAGTAGAAAACGATACGGTGATTCTGTTAGAGAATGGTCTATATTCTTGGGAAGTACACACTGACTTACTTAAGGCAAAGGGCATGATATATGTAACTGACCCTCAAAGAACATACACGTGCATGTGTGCATGTGTGTGTGCATGTGTGCGTATGTGCGTGTGTGTATGCATGTATGTATGTGCATGTGTGTGTTTGAGAGAGCAGCTTGCTGGTATCAAATCAACCCTGACTCCTAGCCGCCCTAGAGACAAGAAGCCTCCTCTTTCTCCAGCAGAGCGGCTGCTAATTTCAAACTCCTGGCCTTGTGGTTAGCAGCTCAATGCATAATCCACAATGCTACCACGGCTCCATGAGGAGAGAGCCAAGTCAAAGTAAACGGATACGATGTTAGCAGGTGAACACAGGCAAGAGTCGGACAAGTGTGCTGGGCACCATGTTTATTCTTACAACTTTTAGAACACGCAGAATGATGTCCAAATGACTTTCTTGAAGTACTCTGGGATAAGATGCCAGCAGACAGAGATTCCTAGACACGGGGGTGGGGGGGTGGGTGGAGGTGGGGGGGGGATTGAAAAGGAAGGAGCACCGCAGTTTCTCAGCACACTCGGATTCTAGGCCTGAAGCCAGGCCTTCCCTTTGCCTTGACTGGTGGCAGGGCCCGATCTCCAACTTGGGGAATCCTTCAGGGGAAAGTTCTCTGGTAGAACGGGCTGAGTGTGAACACTGTGTCATTTAGCGTTCGCTGCCCAACAACCCTCCCCAAGCTGAGTGAACTTCAAAGAGAAACAAATCCATGATTTTTCGCTCCTCTGTTGGTTGGCTGAGCTGTCCTTTCAGTCTGGATTGGTGTCACCTAGGGCTGGGTGGCCTAAGACCACCTCAGTGTCATGCCTGGGGCCTCGGCTAGGCTGGTGAGGGTAGCCGGGGCCCCTCTGCTCCTGTTTCTCCCCCCAGCAGGCTGGCACGGGCTTGCTCGGGTAGGGCAGAACCTTTGACAGCAGCAAGAGGGGAGTCCCCATACTGTGCTGGTCACATGTCCCAGTACCTGGTAGACTGAACTCAGACCACACTCACTGCCATCGAGTCGATTCCTGCTCGCAGTGGCCCGACTGGACAGAGTAAAACTGCCCCTGTGGATTCACAAAGCTGCAGCTCTTTAGGGTGGGGTACTGAGTCTCGTTTTCTCCCAAGAAGAGATGGTGGGTTCAAACTGCCAACCTTGTGGCTAGGCTAACCTGTAACCCATCCCACCACCAGAGTTCTCCCATAAACGAAAGCAAGCCCAATATATTACCGAGCCCAGATATGAGGGTTAGAGAGATAGATCACATCCCTTAAGGTAAGAAGCATCAAAGCCATGCTATAAAGGACCCCGTGAACAGTGAGGGCAGGAATCTGCCGTCTACCCAAGAGCCCTTCAGGTTTGATGCAGTGGGTGGTGCTAAGAAAGGGAAATGGGATGGGAGGAAGCCAAGAGCAGGAGGGTGTGGGCTCGGAGCAGGATGAGAGACGCAGGTGCACTGTCTCCCCGTAGCAAGCCCTGGTGATCCGAGGAGGAGAAAAGATGCAGATTGAGGTCCAAGATGTGGTGCTGGGAGACCTGGTAGAAGTGAAGGGAGGAGACCGCATCCCGGCTGACCTCCGCCTCATCTCTGCCCAAGGATGTAAGGTACGGGAAGGTGGGTGGCCTGGGGAGCGGGCTGCAGGTGTTCTTAGGACACTGTGGTGAAAGAAAGCAGGATCTGACCACTCAGGCCCTGGTAGAGGTTACAAGTGAAAAACTGGGGTTAGAGAAACTAAGAGCCTAGTGAGTCTATGTCGGTATCTCTCTGTGTGTCAACAACTCAGACGGTGGCGGACTACACTGTGTCCCCTTTATCAATGTGCCCCCTTTATCAATCGACCTGCCTTCTGCCCCCATGGTCACCTCATGACTCTCCCATCTTCCCTCCCATCCCAGGTGGACAACTCTTCCTTGACTGGAGAGTCAGAGCCCCAGAGCCGCTCCCCCGAGTTCACCCATGAGAACCCGCTGGAGACCCGAAACATCTGCTTCTTCTCCACCAACTGCGTGGAAGGTGAATGTCGCAGCAGCAGCAGTTGCCAAGGATCTAAAAGCAGGGGTTGGAACAGCGAGGGCTTTGAGGCCTCTCCACCTTCTATGAGGTGCTAAATAATCTAGGTTCTCCCTCACAGGTGACTTTTGGTGAAATGGCCTCTCAAAGCCGCCATGTTTCCATCTATCCAAGGGTCACACTGAGAGTCCTACACCATAAACGAGCCCTACAGACTGCCAGAGGAACAGACACAGCTGCGTAGGACTGGCGGACAGCCAGAGTGCTCCTCAGAAGGGAGGGCGGTGAGACTTGTCTCAGGTGCTCTGGACACGTGTTGAGGAGGCCCGGGTACCCAGAGCAGGGCATCGTGCCTGGGAAAGTCAAGGTCGGCGAAAAACGAGGAAGACTCGCAACAGTCGCACTGACACAGTGGCTGCGCAGTGGGCTGCAGCATCGGTGGTGGGGCTGGCGCAGGACCGGGCCGCGTGTTGTCCCATTGCACTTGGGCTTGCTAGGAGTCCAAACTCACTGGACAGCACCTGGCAGCAATAACCAGATGGGCTTGGGTGTGAATTCATTGAGATAGGATAGAGAGAAAATGCTTGGCTCCAAAGGCCTACCGAGCACACCTGAAGTGCCCTGTAATTGTCCGTTCTGATTGTCCTAGTTAGTGGCCGGCGCAGAAAAAACTCCCCGCCATCGAACCAATTTCAACTCATAGCAACCCTATAGGACAAAGGAGAACTGCCTGTGTGGGGTTCTGAAGCTGCAAATCCCCACGGGAGAAGACAGCCTCATCTTTCTCCCGCAGAGCAACGGAGGACTTTGAACTGCTGAGCTTGCGGTTAACAGTCCAGTGGGTAGCCCACTCTGCCACAAGGGCCTCTTAAGGTGAGGTGACCAGATTCTAACATTGGTCAAGTGGGACACCAGCAGGACACCATTGATAAAACTCATATCCTGGCGAAATAGCCACATGGCAGCTGAAAACTGTATACCCTACCTTGTCATGCATTCTTTCCAAAAATCGGGACGCGGGAAAAATTGTTAAAAATCAGACTGTCCCTCCAAAAACGGGGTGTCTGGTCACCTTACCTTAAGCGGCACAGAAGGGAGGAGAATGATTCAGCCAGGCTAGGTCGTCCCTTCCTCAGGTAAGCCCACAGTTCTCCCAACCATCCCCCACTCCGAGAGGACATTCACAGTAGATGTGAGTTATCAGAGGTGCCACTCAGACTTTGGCTTTGCCCGGGAATCAAAGACATCCTCGGACCGGAGAGAGTTCCAGGCAAGAAGGCAACAAAAGACTCAGTGTGACTGTCAACCTCACCGACACCCTTTCCCTTTACCGTGGCCTGCGAGGCTCCCTGGGGCACACTGCAAAGCCACGCTCCGTGCTTAAGGATGAATGGGCATCTGAGTATTAGCTCTTTTAAAATGGAACATGTCAGGAGTCCCAGGGGGTGCAAATGGATAAGCGCTCAGCTGCTAATCAAAAGGCCGATGGTTCAAGTCCAAGCAGAGCCACTTCCGGCGCAAGGGCTGGTGACCTGCAGCGACTGAAAACGTGGTGGAGCCTAGTTCTAATCTGACACACATGGAGCTACCAGGAGGCCATCCCATCGGCATGGCTTTGATCTTTCAGTGTGTATCAAGTGCGACAGACGGCCCTCTGATCCGCAGCACTCTACAGCACACACTATCCCTACATCTCATGTGAAGAAGTGAAAGTTCAAAGAAATTGGGTCCTCTATCCAAGAACCCAAGTCAAGAAAGCTTTTTATTTCTGCCCCCACCATACACACACCTATGTTCATTGCTGCTTTATTCACAATAGCACATAAATAGAAACAAGTGGAATGGGCATCAACAGATGAGTGGGTAACCAAATCAGTGATGCAGACTTAAAATGTGCCAGGACACAGCCATACAGAGCAAGTCTGCAAAGCCCCGTATGGCAGGGATGGAGATAAGCACCTAAGGTCAGACATGGTGCGGTCCTGCTTTTGTAAGAATAGATAGATAGAGACCATTGCTCACTGGTGGTTCTCAGGAGAGGTGGGAAGGAGAAAGTAGATTTCAATTATGTGTCCAATCATACAATGAAAAGCCATTGTCATTTGGCGGGGATTCTAATGCAGCTTTGTCGCCAAAGCCCACGCTCTTTCCACACTCTAGCCTAAAACAAAATAAAATAAAAGCTAGTGGCCCCTCACTATAAAATTATTTTATTTGAAAGAGTAACATTAAGACTGAGCACTGAGGGAAAAAAAAATCTAAGCTGAAAATGTAATATATATTAAAATAGGTAAATTAATTTTGACAGAATGGTGCTAGTTAGCAAACATGCCCTCGACTCCCAAAGAGGATCTATTATGACCTTTTAGTAAGAAAATTTCTCAGATTTGTTCTTCCAAAATATGCTTCAGAGGTAGGAGGGCAGTGACATTCCCTCTGGAAAATGGATCAGAGCAGAGGAAGGTTAGGGAGTCCTGGTGGCATAGTGGTTGCAAGCTGGGCTGCTCACCACTAGGTCAGCAGTTCAAAACCACCAGCGGCTCTAAGGGAGAAAGATAAGACCTTCCACTCCCCCAAAGGGTTGCAGTCTCGGAAACCCACAAGAGCAGTTCTACCCCGTGCTCCAGGGCCACTGTGAGTCCGCACCGTCCTACTGTCCATTATACTTAATACATTTGTCAAATCTGTGATTCCATTCTTGGAAACATTTTTTCAAACTCATCTTTTGGATGGCCGACAGCACCTCCCTCGTTTTTCTCTTCGCCTCTTCAACTCTGTCAGATCGCTGTCCTTTCCTGCCCCGCTTCATTCGCAGAAACAAAAAAAAGTCACACAGAGTGGGGTCAGGTGAGTCAGGTGGGTGGGACAAGAGAGGCATGCTGGGGTTTTTTGGCCAAAAACTGGAGCACTGAGATGGCGGTTTGAGCAGCTGCATTGTCATAGTGGCAAAACCAGTCCCCTGTCTGCCTCAAACCAAGCCCTTTTGCTGCACACTGTTACTTATGCAATCTTTTCAAAACCTCTAAATAGAAAGCTTGATTAGCAGTCTGACCTGGTAGAACGAACTCCAAATGCACTATCCCCCTCACATCAAAACCACAAATGAGCATCGATTTTGGGGGGTAGCCCTCAGACATCTTCACTGAGGATGAGCTATCTCTTGGGCACAGATGGAAGGTGGGTGAAGGAGCCAGTCTGGCCTGGGATACTCAAAGCTTCACCCTTGGAGCCACCACATGTCTTCAGATACGTTAGGGTTCATCATTAAATTCCATCTCTCCCAGCATGAGATAACCGTCACAGAAGGAATACAAATGAATGCTTAAACCAGGGGTCCTCAAACTACAGCCCCCGGGCCACATGTGGCTCACCGAGGATGTTTATCTGGCCGGCCGGGTGTTTTTTGTCCCCACTTTTTTTACTTGAAAATAAGCTATGTGCAGTGTGCATAGGAATTTGTTCATATTTTTTTAAACTATAGTCTGGCCCTCCAACGGATCTGAGGGACAGTGAACTGGTCCCCTGTTTAAAAAGTTTGAGGACCCCTGGATTAAACTAAACCATGGCCTGAGGTGAGTTATGCACTGGGTTGCTAACCGCAAGGTCAGGGGTTCACGTCCACCAGACGAACCACAGGAACAAGACGAGGCTTTCTACTCCCGAACGATGCATGTACAGTCTTGGAAACCCACAGCACAGAGGCAGCCGCCCTCGATCCCATCCATCGAGTCACACTACGGATGAGTCGGAATCGACTCGATAGCAGTGAGTTTGGCTTTTGTTGTAGTATTTTTGTTTCGAGTTTGGGCCGCACAAACTAGACAGCTTTTGCTGTGCATGATTACTCGGCAGCTCTCAATTATTTTGGCATCCTCCTTTCATCAGTAACCAATGGGAGCCTCACTCGAGGGCCGCATACTGCGACCCTCTCCAGAACTCCTCCTGCACCTCCGCATCGGCTCCACGAGGACCCGCCTCTCAGAGCCAAACGGCTGAAAGTGTCCTTAGAAGCGCGGACCACCTGCTGCTCTGTCTGTGCTGTGAGGTTTCTGGGTGCTGCCAAGTTAACGCCACCCGAGTGAAGTGGCACGTGTGTTTGACGTGAGTCCTTCTGCAGGCCCTAAATCCATACCAAGGAAGAGAAGAACCACATCGGAGTGCTTCTCTGCTGTTCTGAGCACATTTAAAAGCACTCGCTTCTGCCTCACAGCTTTGCAGCTACTTTCATCCCATTTTAAAGAAGGAGTTGGGTCTAAGAGAGTTCAAGCAACTCACTCCCCTGGGAGCAAATACCTAAGAAATTGGAAAGTTGGACTTCCAGTTCTGATTCAGATTCTAACCTCCATGCTGTTCTCGTGAACAGCACGCTGCTTTGCTGAGCGGTTCTGTGGCGTTAATGGCAGGAGCTTCGGTCACTGTGATAGAGCAGGTTGAAATGTTGAATGAAGACCCAGCCAGACCAGGGACCTCAGCTCAGGCCATGCCGGTGAGCGGCCGGCAGCATTCGTGTGCACGGCCCCCTCCTGGCAGTGCTGGTGGAGAGAAGAGGAAGGAAAAGCACTGAGTCCCTGAGTGGTGCAGATCGTTAAATTGCTCAGCTGCGAGTTGAGAGGTTGGAGGTTCGCGTCTGCCCGCAGGTACTTTGGAAGAAAACCCTAGCTGTTTATTTCCCAAAAAGATCAGGCCCTGAAAACTACTGAGCAAGTCTTCTTTGACATACGTGGTGTCGCGAGGAGTTGAAATGAGCTGGAAGACAACGTGTTGTTCCCCACGCCCACCCTGACCCCCAGCCCCTGAATAAACAGAGCCCAACTGCCATGGCCTGTCCTACCCACCAGAGGTCAGACTGGCGCTAGCCAGAGCAAAGCAGGGAGTGGGGAGGGACTCCTTTTAGAGCAGGGTTCCTCAAGCTAGACTCTCTGGACACTTGGGGCTGGATAACACTTTGTTGAAGGGTGCTGTCCCATGCATTACAGGATTTTTAGCAACACCCCTGACCGCTGCCCCTTAGATGTCAGTAGGACCCCTACCCGCCCAAGTGATGACAACCAAAAAGATATGGCTGAAGGTCCCCCTGCAGGGTAACTAGCCCGTTTGAGCACCGCTGGGTTAGAGAAGAGGCAGGGGCATATTGAACATGGGACTCCAACACAAGGGTAACTACTGTGCCACCTACTGAAAGGGAAACGAGAGAAATGTGCAGAGACAAGAAGTTCTCAGGTTAAAGGTAATGCAGACCTTCTTGACATGGAGGTGACTCACTGCCATTGAGTCAGTTCTGACTCATAGAGACCCTATGGGCGGGGGAGAAATGTCCCTTTGGATTTGCAAGACGGTAACGGCTCAAAGGAGTAGAAAGACCCATCTTTCTCTCGCAGAGCGGCTGGTGGTTTCGAACTGCTGGCCTTGCGGTTGGCAGTGCAATGCATACCCCACTACACCACCAGGGCTCTCGTGGAGCTAGTAAGGTGATGCCATTAGATTACTGTAGAGAATGTGAGGTGTTTTTCAGACTTGGAGAGGCCTGAACTTATACAAACTCAATCAAGAGCGAATAGAGCTGCCATGACTTCTCAGGGGACCTGGGGTTTCCCTCCTGGATTTGACCATTGACAGTTTGCCCTTTACCCCGGGGCCAACCCCAACAGCCTGTCCACTTCAGACTCCAGTGTCTTGTGTGACCACCGCCCAATTCTCTCCTCCCACAGGAACAGCCCGGGGCATTGTGATTGCCACAGGAGACTCCACGGTGATGGGCCGCATTGCCTCCCTGACGTCAAGCCTGGCCTCCGGCAAGACCCCCATCGCCCTGGAGATCGAGCACTTCATCCAGCTGATCACGCTGCTGGCCGTGTTCCTGGGCGTCTCTTTCTTCGGGCTGTCCCTTTTCCTGGGCTACAGCTGGCTGCAGGCCATCATCTTCCTCATCGGCATCATCGTGGCCAACGTGCCCGAGGGGCTGCTGGCCACCGTCACTGTGAGTAGCCGGGGTGGAGGGTGGTCTCTGGCAGGAAAACCATATCCCTCGTATCTCTCTTGTGGTTGAAATCTCAAGAGCAGAGTACACCTGGCTTTTACACAAAGCAGACAGACAGACAAACAACACTCACTGTCCAGTCCAATTGATTCCGACTGCTTGGTGGATTATAGGTTGGCTGCTAACCGAAAGCTCCACAGTTCAAAACCACCAGCCTCTCCGTGAGAGAAAGATGAGGTTTCCTGCTCCTGTAAGAGTTACAGTCTCGGAAACCCACGGGCGCAGTGCCACTCTGCCCTATAGGGGCACGATGAGTTGGCACTTGTACACTGATCAGAAATAATAGACTTCCCAATGTGCGGTAACCCCTGGACCCAGAATTTCTTATGCATTTTGCTTTCTCCTCCATAAGGAAAGCAGGAAGTGGTGTTGGAGAAGCTGTGGATTATAAACCAACCACAAGGAGTGAGGTCTAGCCCCAGGCTTACGAGCTGGTGACTCGGCCAGATTATTTAACATCTCTGGGCCTCAGTGTACTCGTGGGTTTTAGAAGAACATTCCTTTACAACTCTGGAATATTCTTATTTTTTGACAGGACTTGATAAGTAATAGAGTCAGCCTTTCAGCCAACGTTAGGTGTCTTTTTGTCTCAACTCATTCTGTTGGTGGACTGCTCTAGTTAAATGTCATTGTCTGATTGCCCTGGTCTGATTTCCTATGGCCTTGAAGAGCCTGGGTAGCACCCGCCATTTGTGATTGACCGCTAAGCCACGTGTTGGCACTTCCATGCCACCCAGTGACTTGAGGGCAGAAGAAGCTGGCAACCTGCTGCCGTGATGATGGTGGCCAAAATCACTCCAATGAGCAGTTCTCCTCTCACCAGGGGCCGGGGCACACTCCACAGGGGCAGCTGACGACATCTGCTCCTGGAAGGAACACGAAGCCGTCGAATTTCTGACTCCCACTGCCATTCAGTCGATGCTGACTCATAGCGACCCCCAGTGGGATTCTGGGACTGCAACTGCTGATGGGAGTGCAAAGCCCAGTCTTTCTCCCCAGGAGCAGCTGGTGGTTTCGAACTGCCAACCATGTGGCTCCCAGCCCACCTCATAACCACTACACCAGCAGGGCTCCTCCTACACACCAGTCTGACAAAATCTTGAAGGTGATCTTGATGTCCCCAGAAACTCTCAGGTAGAAGGTGAACTCAACCCTTGTGCTTAGCCTCTCTGCCTATGACCTCTTGTCTCCTCGGTCACCCATTTCGAGTGTGGTCTAAGGACAGTGTATCTCAACGTGGGCAATCCTGCTCCCTGGGGGAGGAAAGGGGTGCTGGGATGATCCAGAGGAACTTGAGAAGCAGACGTCTACCCTCCCGCCTGGATTATGGGCTGTAATGCATTTTTTATTTCCAGGGGATGGTGCACTGAGCATTTTTTCTGAAAAGGGGTGACAGGCCAAATAAATTTGGGAGCCTATAACCTACATTATCAATAATTGCCTTTATATAGAAACAGGCCGATTTTGGGGGTGCACTTTGACTAGCATAAAAACATTGGGACTTGCTGTATTATAGAAAGTCATTAGAATTTTGTTCTTAAGTAACTATAGCCTAAGAATCCATTAAGATTCCTGAGTGGCAAAATGGGTTTGCTCTAGGACTAACATAAAGGTTGGCTGTTCCAAACCACCCAGCAGTGTCACGGAAGAAAGGCCTGGTGAGCTGCTTCAGCAGAGTGCAGCCAAGAATCCCTGTGGAGCACAGTTGTGCTCTGTAGCACATGGCATTGCCGTGAGTCAGAGTCGCAAGGAGTTTGAGGGTTGGGGTGCGTGCACGCTTGTGTTTGGACTTTCGCTTTTAAAATAGCTCTGTCAAACACCTAAGTTCATTTCTGATGCAAAAACCGAAACCTTCTGATTTAAGATGGTGCTCAACTTCTTCTAGCACCGGCGTATTCCTTCCCAGTGTCGTCACCCTCCGCTCCCCATTCCCCGTCTTAAAAGCGACCCTTCCCCATACCTGGTACCCCACACCTGACATCAGTAAAAGATGGAGGTTCCCGGAAAGACTGAGTTACTAAGAGGTATCCCTCGACCTGAGTTGGAAAGCAGACTGCTAGTCAGGAATATAGAAAGGAAGAGAGGACTATTCACAAGAGGAAGGAGGATCACTATGATACTTTGGTCAAGGAATGCCTGGTTTCGAAAAGTTAGCATTGTAACTTTATTGGTATAACTCACAACAGCCAAGGAATCACCCCACACCCAACCCACTGCCGTTGAGTGTATTCCAATGCATAGCACTCATATGCAGGGTTTCTAAGACCGTTCATCTTTATGGGGGCAGCTGACTCAGAGCAGCAGGTGGGTTTTGAACCTCTGACCTTGTGGTTAGCAGTCTAACACTGAACCTACAGCACCATCGCGCCTCACAAGAGCCAGTGAATACCTTCGCTCTTGAAACTCTGCTAGGACGCATGAACCCACACCCTTTCCTAGTTTGGTTTGCCCTAGCCACAGACGGGATTTCCCAAGACTGAGGGGAAAGAAAGCAAACACCATTCAATGTCCGTGTGTGATCTGTCAACTGCGTCTCTCCATTGGGCTCTCTCCCCTCTTCCCGGCCTCAGGTGTGTCTGACCCTGACCGCTAAGCGCATGGCGCGGAAGAACTGCCTGGTGAAGAACCTTGAGGCAGTGGAGACGCTGGGCTCCACCTCCACCATCTGCTCGGACAAGACGGGCACCCTCACCCAGAACCGCATGACCGTTGCCCACATGTGGTTTGACAGGACCATATATGAGGCCGACACCACTGAAGACCAGATGAGTGAATAGTGGTACTGGGTGGGTGGCAGAGCGGAAGGGTTTGGGGTGGTGGTGAACGAATGGGCTGAGAGGGAAGGGTGCGTATAACGAGAAGATAGCGGGGAAAGTGGAAGAGGAAGAGGAGAGGATTGTCCGTGTAGGGAAAGAAATGCCACCTCTGTTGTGGTTGGGTAAGGAGCGGGATGCAAACCACCCGCTTCAAACTCTCCTAGCCCCTGCTCACGAAGTCTCCCTCCTGCCTCCCTAGGAGACACATTTGCCAAGGACTCTCCTACCTGGATCACCCTAGCCCAAATCGCCGGCCTCTGCAACCGGGCTGACTTTAAGCACCCTCAGGAGTCAATTCCCATAGCTAAGGTACCAGGCCGAAGTAGGCAGAGGTGACCGCAGGGTCCAAGGTATAAGCTGCCCTCTTTCAGAAAAAAACACACAAAAAAGGTCTGTCCTGGCACTCTGATTTCCCCAGTGCTCCTTTCCCGGTGGGTCCCTCCCTCTCTCCATGGGTGAGCTTGGCCCTGCTGCTTACACCACCTGGCCTCCTCGCAGCGCGCAACGACGGGTGATGCTTCAGAGTCGGCCCTGCTCAAGTTCATCGAGCAGACTTACAGCTCCGTGCGGGAGATGAGAGCCAAGAGCCCCAAGGTGGCAGAGATTCCTTTTAATTCTACCAACAAGTACCAGGTACAGCATCGATAAAAGCAGGGGAATGGTGCGGGGGGTGGACTCATCATTTGGGGACCCGCAAGCTTTGCTTCTGCCTGCAACCGCACCGCTGATTGCTGCAACAGAGGCAGTGGGTAGCTAGCATCCCGAAGAAGAGGAAGTGGCAAACGGGGTAGAGAGGAGTAGGTGATAAAGGAAGAGTCGCCGTGAGTCAGCACTGACTCGGTGGTAGTGAGGTTATTTTTTAGTTTGATTTATCTAAAGGTTGATGGTTCGAACCTACCCACTGGCCATCTGCTTCTGTAAAGATCACAGCAACTTCTACCCTGTCACATGACTTGCAAGCAACCCACAGCTGCTGGCATTGACTCAGAACCAGAGTGCCCAGCCTCAGGCCCCAGAGGAGAGACAGCAGGCATTACCTCTCTCTGGAATGCCGGCAGGTAGTCAGGTCAGACGGTGACTACAGTCCGATGAGTCGTGTGCTTGTATGTCTTAAAAAGCACACAGCAAAATGGCAAGATGGACTGGCACAGCAGCTGCTACAATGGGCTCGAACATAAGAACCATTGTGAAGACGGTGCCGGACCGGGTGCTGTTTGTTCCCTGTGCGTAGGGTCATTAGGAGTCAGACCGGCTTACTGGCCCCTAACAACAGCAACAACAGAGATTTTAAAGGAGCCCGCTTGGTGCGGTGGGTTGGGCATTGGACTGCTAGCTGCAAGGCTGTAAGTTCAAACCCACCAACCTCAACCACTCCAAGAAGACAGAAGGGACTGTTTACAGTCTCGGGAACCGCGCACGGGTCACTAGGAGTGGGTGCCGGCTCTGGCATGGCTTGGGTGTTGGGATATATAGATGTATCTCATTGCCTAAACTTTCATTCAAGGACGGCTGGGGCACGAGTGTGAAGTGCTTGGCTGCTGACTGGAAGGCTGTAGGTTAGAACCCGTTCGGCAGCTCCGAGCGGTGAAGACCTGGCCTGGGCAGACTGTTGTGCATGCCCTCACGCCAAGGCCGATCCTGGGACTGCGTGTGCAGAGTACAAGCGCCGCACGGGGTCTTTACAGGAATGGATCAGCAGGCCTCGTCTCTCAAGGAGCTGCTGGTGACTTCCATCCACTTATCCCCTGTGCCACCTGGGACAAGCACTCAATTCCAAGTGTCCTGGTGCTTGGGTGATAATGGCCGCTCTGCCTGGGGCACATGGGAAGGTGCACAAAGTAAAAGAGCACTGAGTCGTCTCCCGGAGGAGCTGTTGATACATTTAAGCTGGGCTTGCAACAATGTCTCTGTTGATGTAGCTAGCTAAAGAGACAGTGTTTGTCTTGTGAATTCGTGGAAAGTTCACAGGACTGAGCAGCAGGGTCACATTAGCAATCCACACACACTGTTTGAACTCATCTGTTGCAATCCCCACAACGGCCTGTCTGTCCTTCTCCCACCCCCTCCCTGTGCGTCTCCTTTTCATGCCTCTGGCTTCCCTGACCTTCTGAACGTTGTCCTTGGGTAAATGTCACCCTTTTGATCTTACACGGTTGACTCTTGCAGCGTGGGGTTGAGTTCCGTTCCAAGCCTGAAGGCTGACTAAGGCCCATAGTCTCGTGGGTCCCACCAGGCTCTAGCCAACCAATACTCTTGGACTTCCTTATGATTTTGAATTCTGTTCCACATTCCCAACCCCCACTCCCTGCCCCCAGCCTACCCAGGAATTTCTGATATGACCCTTTTCAGGAGAGCTGGTAGTGGTGGTCAGGCACTCTCTAGGTCTTCTGGTCATGGTAACTGATGTTTGCCCGGCCCATTAGTCCTCTGGACTAATTGTTTCCATGAGTCTTTCAATGATCAGCACACTTTTTCCCTCCAGACAGGGAGACCAGTTGTGCCTGAGACGGCTGCTCACGCATGTTTTAGACCCCTGTCTTACTCACCAGCGCAGGATGTAGAACACTATCTTTGTGCTGTTGGTGTGCCCTGAGGTGACAATCCCGAGCCTCCTGGCCCAGTATCTCATTCCCTCTGGGTGTGATTGTATCTACGAAAAAAATTTTTGGAACCTTTGCCCCTACAGGAATAGCTCTATCAATGCATAATGAACTTTTGCTGAAATCCTGTGCAAGACTTTCAGAGGCAGTGATTTGGGTGCAGTTGGAACTGCAAAGTCGTCCTCGGTAGTACAGCCAGCGTGCTCAGCCCTCCCACTCTGCGCTCTGAGGAAGTGCAGCCAGCAACTTTCACTTGCCCCTGGTGATACCACCCATCAGGCTGCGATCCGCACGGTCAGCAGTTTGAAACCACCAGCAGCTCCGTGGGAGAAAGACTGGGCTTTCTGCTGCAGTAAACAATGAGGGTCTCAGAAACCCCCAAGGGGGCAGGGGACCGCTATGAGTCAGTGAGCTTGATGAGTTTTGAGCTTGCTCTAGGCAGGCTGGAGGCTCCCGGAGTCACAAGAGCCATCGATGCCGGCCTGGCCCTTCAGGGCCTCCCGTCTCTTCCCTTCTCTGTGACCCCAGTGAAGGGAAGGGTTCTCTGTTCCGGTAAGCCCAGATGTTTCCTCCGCCCTCGTCATGCTTGTCTGTCATCATCCGCCAAGGTGTGACTGAGTCAAGGTGTGACTGAGTCACGAGCTGACGCCACCAAGTCTGCATGGAGGCCTCAGGACACAGAGTTCGTTCTGCTTGTTTGTTTTTCATCTTTCTGCTGAAATGAGTTAGGGTCATCCCTCGGAACCGTCTGAGCATGTTTTGAACGGGACTGAGCAGTGTTTTAAGTGGACACTTTTGACCACAGTTGTCAAGCGCAGTGGCTTCTGCCGGGCTTACCGTCTGGGCAGCGAGTGCCGCTCTGCCCAAACCCTTTCTTTTCTTCTCCCGGAGTGCCTTACCTGAAAGGCCCCAGAGCCGGAACTCCCTCTCAAATCACTAAAAGAAAGAACAAATCCCACTGAGTCCACTCCAACCCCTGGTGACGCCGGGCGTGTTGGAGGAGACCGGCCCCTCAGCGACCGTCCAGTGGCGGTGATCTTTTGGAAGTAGACCGCCAGGCCTCTCTTTGAGGCACCTCTGGGTGGGTTGGAAGCAATAGCCGGGTGCTGTCACTGTACACAAAGGCTCCTCAGTTCTTTTCATAGATCACAGATCGAGAGGAAGGGAAAGATTATTCCAGTGGTTCTCAGCCTTCCTAATGCCACCGCCCTCTCATACAGTTCCTCCTGTGGTGGTGACTCCCAACTATAACATTAGTTCCGTTGCTGCTTCATAACTGTCATTTTGCTACTGCGATGAATCGTGCAACCCCTGTGAAAGGGTCGTTCAACCCCCCTCACAGGTTGAGAACCGCTGCTCTATACCAACCTTATTTCTTGTCGTGCTTTCTTCCTAAATCTGAACACACACACACACACACACACACACACAGACTCAACGCCCCTCTGGGGATCTCTCCGGCATTGAGGAAAGGGAGAGGCAAGGCGATGGGAAAACGAACCTGGTTTAGCATTGTTCTGTTCGGTGTTAACAGTATTTATTACATGCACTGTCTCTCCTAACTAAGGATCTGTCACATTTTATCGAAGAAACTAAGGGTGTGAGATGAAATGGATTGGCCCAAGGTCATCGAGCTAATAATGCATCCGAGCCGCCCAGTACGCCGGCCCTGAGTCTGGTTTCTTTCCTCTGTACTCTGCTGCCCGTCCTGGCCACGCTCAGGCTGTCTACCAAGCCGACCATAAAGGCAGCTGAGGGGCAAGGGGGCGGGGTGGCTGTGCCTGGCTCTGCCTCAAAGAGCCTCCAGCCTGGCTGAGGGGACCACAGAGACACATGTGACTGCCATACAGGGCAGAGGGCTCCTGGAAAGGAGGGGGGCTTGGGTCAGGGGGCTTGTGGTTGTTTCTTTTGTTTTTAAACTGTGGTAATTATAGGAGCCCTGGTGGAGTAGTGGTTACGTATTTGGGCTGCTCACTGCAAGGTCAGCGGTTCAAAACCACCAGCCACAGCTTGGGAGAAAGATGGGGCTTTCTACTCCTGTAAAGAGTTACAGCCTCAGAAACTCGAAGGGGCAGCTCTACCCCGTGCTGTGGGGTCACAAAGATTGGGCATCCACTCGGTGGCAGTGAGTCTGGTTTGGTTTTTCTGGTGGTCAGTACACTCTGGTGGGACCAACGGTTAAGCACTGGGCTGCTTGACTGAAAGGCTGGCAGTTCGAACCTACCCCTCGGCCTCTCAAGAGAACGGCCCAGCCATCTGTTCCCGTGAAAAGCACAGCCTCCAACAACTCCCCATGGGGCAGTGCCACTCTGCCACGCAGGGGCGCTCCGGGTCACCATGGAATGGACAGGCCTGAGCACACGTCCAGGACATTCACCATCTCCATCATCTTTCCAGGTGCAGGGCAGTGGCATGCCGCTCACAGCATTACTCAGCATCACCTTGACCTTGGGTCAGATGTCCCTGAACTTGGAGAACTGGGCTGGGGGTGGGGACTGGAGGTGATGGGAACGGGGAATGGTCCCACCCTTCGGTCCTTTCTCAGCCCTCTGTCCCAGCCCTTGCTCTCGCCTCTTGCCCTACCAGTGCCCCCTGTGTTGCCCTTAGATGTCCATCCACCTGGAGGAGGACGGCCCCCACACCCACGTGCTGAGGATGAAGGGAGCTCCTGAGAGGATCTTGGACTTGTGCTCCACATTCCTGCTGAATGGGCAGGAGTACCCCATGGATGAGGACATGAGGGGTGCCTTCCAGAACGCCTACCTGGAGCTGGGAGGCCTGGGGGAGCGCGTGCTCGGTGAGGGGGCGTCGGGAGAAGACGTTGGAAGAAGGGCACCAAGGTGGTGGTGTCCGTGGATGGGCCAGGTAGAGACCCGGGTGATGGAATGACTTCTGGCTCTTCCTCTTCCTCCTCCTCCACAGGGTTCTGTTTCTTGAACCTGCCTAGCAGTTTCTGCAAGGACTTCCCATTTGACACGGATAACATCAATTTCCCCATGAGGAACCTTTGCTTTGTGGGGCTCATATCCATGATCGACCCTCCACGAGCCTCGGTGCCTGACGCCGTGAGCAAGTGTCGCAGTGCCGGGATTAAGGTAAAACCATCCCTGGGCACACCGGAACCTGCCCTTCCCCTCACCTGTCTGCAAAGAGGAAGCTCTGCACAGCGTGGGCTCTCCACCAGCGTGCACGCCTGCTTCCCTGTGCTGGCAATTTCCCTTCTGACCAGGTCCCTGCCGTCAGTCTCTTCTGCAGTTCCCAGGCTGTCTTGCTTGCCCTTCAGAATAACTTGGGGGACATTTAAAGTCAGATTCCCAGGCACACACCCCTGACCAATGAAAGGAGAAGCTCGGGATAGGATAATCTCCCTCCAGAAGTGTGGCTCTCGTGGTGTGATGAGCACGTAAGGGCTCTGCTGCTACCAGAAGGGCTGGTGGTCTTAGCCCACCCGGGGCTCCACAAAGACAGGCCTGGTGACCTGCTTGACTGAAGACGGGAGTCTAGGCTGTCGATCGGAAGGAGCAGCGTCTGGGGACTTAGAGACTTGCACTCAAACAAGCAGCCCCCTAAGGGAGGAGTCAACCAAGTGCACACGGGAGAGGCACACCGGCTTGTGTGAGCCAGAGATGGCAATGACTAAAGCATCAACGATCGAATATTCTCATGAACACCCAAATGGTGGCGGGCTGCCGGGGACAGTGGGAGCCCAAAACCCACCCGCAGAGGAGCTGGTCAGACTGAGCCTCTGACAGATCTGCTCTGGCCACAGTAAGAGTCTCGATCAGCCTATCAGGCAGAGACCATCTGATCCTTGATTTTGCTGGGTTGAACTTGATACTTGCCTAGTTGGCCCCCTATAGACGCGGCCTGCGTCTGTTCTGGGTGCAACTGTCTCGTAGTTGTTCCATGACAGAAATGTCTTCCCTGGCTTTTTGAATGTTGTTGGGGGTCTTTTTCTTCTTGGCCATTATTTGTATTTTTGTCTGGATATCATTATGTTTTTAACCTAACCACATTAGCGTAGTTTTGTTTGTTACTGTTTTCTAGTGGGTTTCCCAGCTGTGACGCACAGGAGAAGTGGATGCATAATGATAATACCGGGTACAAGGGGGTGTAGGGAATTGGGGGCGGGGGATTGGTAGGGCGGGGAAGGGGAATTCAGGAGTAACTGAAGAACACGGGATGGGGAAGGGAGCATTACAATGGATTGTGATCGCATAACTCATCTGGAAGGCGATGAGTTAACCATGGGGTGGGGGCGCTCTAAAATTGGTGGTTGTACAATTCTCCTCGACACGATTGAATGACTGAACTATTGGATTATGTGAAACGTACTTGTCAATGAAACTGTTGGTGGGGGTGGGGTGCCGCGGCAACCAGGAAACGCAGTACTGCGGGCACTCCCACTCTGCTACCTGGGCCCGATGAGATTCCGCCTCAGCTTAGCAGCTCCGAGCGGACACAGCCGCAGGCGGCACCCAGGGGGTCAGGCCTCTGGAGAGTCCTATGTGCTGCCAAGCTTGGGGGGTGGCTTGGCTTTCTTTGTGCCATCAAGTTTGAAACCCCGTGCCGGAGGGCTTTAAGATGCGTACACATTCCCTGGGGACTTTGTCAACCCACAGGTCCTGATTGCATGGGTCTAAAGTATCCTGGGTTCCCCCACGTCAGCTGGTTCCCAGAGGAGGCTGAACGGAGTGTCCAAGGATGAGGCCAAATGGGTTGGGCCTCCTCCAGAGCAAGCAACCTGGAGAGTAACATGCTGAGAGCAGGGCCCCCAATGAGTCAGGCTCAGGGGGAACAGGCATACAAGGTACATGCCAAAAGGCAACATGAGTTGCTCCCAGAGAGAGACGCAGCTGCAGAACAAACCCAGGGGCAGGGCTTCCTGGAGCGGCAACAGGAATCCTCCAGTTCTTTAGAGAGCCTGACAGGAGGGTATGGGAAGTGAGGGGGTGGGGCTGGGGGGAAGACGGGGGAAGAGGGGAGTTGATAGCATGGATGATTGCGTAGCCCCTCCTGATGGGATTGAACAGCAGAACTGTATGGGAATGGAAGGGATATATTGGAATGAGCAAGATGTCCATAAAAATATTATTCGAGGAGAAAAAGAGAGAAGAAATCCTCCAATTCTGAGATTCTGTGTATCCCACTTTCCTTTAAAAAACAAACAAAACTTTTTATTGTGAACTGGGTGAGGGAGAACCAATTAGTCATCAGTTTCACGGTCCGCCATTTGTACACGTCTTGTTTCAACTCTTCCGCTTGAGCCCCTGCCGTCCTTCGCGCTTCCTCTCTGTTTCCTGCTCCCATTCCTACCCTTCCCTGACCCTCTGTCTTGGGGTCCATGTCTTTGGATCTCAAGTGGTTGGTGGTTGATTTGCAGGTCACGCTTCAAGTCAAGCTCACAAGAGTCCCAGGATGCCAAAAGCTTGGAGGCTTGACCCTCCTGGAGGTGCCTGGGAAGAAAGGCCTGGCCACCTACTCCCCCCAAACCAGTCATGGTCTACCCTCGGGACGCAGCTCCACTCTGGCACCCACCGGGTGACAAGAAGTCGGAATCAACTCGAAGGTAGCTGGTTTGGCTCTGGGTTTTCCAGGCAGAGCAGCACCCAGGGCGTCTAAAGACGCTGCTGCCACGGGCAAGCGTCCAGCTGTGAGAGGCCTCTGTGCTTCCGGGGTCTGTCCCAGGATGGCCCGTGCCATCATCACCCCTTACCGTCTCCTGGACCCCAAACAAACAGAAACGTGGTTGGCTGAGCGAGGCACCTTGAATACCCTCGGCTGGCCTGGAGCGGTTGCTGGGTGGTTGTGGTGGCAAGCGGTGCACGTGGTGCCATCCTCCGAGGAGACCCGACGTAGAGCACTTCCAGGAGACTGCCCACAGGCCAGAGCCTTGCAGGGTCAACTCTGAAGGGCACGGCCATTGAAGGAAAGCGGACAGATGAAGGTGGCATGCCAGCAGCCTCGTTCTAATGCAGCAGTTCCCAACCTGTGGGTCGGGACCCCTTTGGGGGTCGAACGACCCTTTCACAGGGGTCGCCTGATTCATCACAGTAGCAACATGACAGTGATGAAGTAGCAACAAAAATAATGTTATGGTTGGGGGGGGTCACCACCACAGGAGGAACTGTATGACGGTCGCGGCATGGGGAAGGTTGAGAACCGCTGCTCTAACGACACGGCTGCGGGACTCCGGCCCAGGCGGACATGGGTTCAGGCTGCTGGAACGAATGTGCTTTTAAAAATTAAAATGAGGCAGCCATCTCCCACCGGCATCATGGCTGCCCTCGGACCCTTGGTGAAGCCTAAAATTGTGAAAAAGAGGACCAAGAAGTTCATCCGGCACCAATCCGACCGCTATGTCAAGATTAAGCGCAACTGGCGTAAGCCCAGAGGCATTGACAACAGGGTGCGGAGAAGATTCAAGGGCCAGATCTTGATGCCCAACACTGGTTATGGGAGCAGCAAGAAAACCAAGCACATGCTGCCCAGTGGCTTCCACAAGTTGCTGGTCTACAACGTCAAGGAACTGGAAGTGCTGCTGATGTGCAACAAGTCTTACTGTGCAGAGATTGCTCACAACGTTTCCTCCAAGAATCGCAAAGCCATTGTAGAAAGGGCAGCCCAGCTGGCCATCAAAGTCACCAATCCCAATGCCAGGCTGCGCAGCGAAGAAAATGAGTAGATGGCCCATTTGCAAGTTTTATTTGTGCTAAATAAAACCATAAATGAAAAAAAAATTAAAATGAATCCACCCCATTCTACTTACCGCTCACTGAGACGCTTAGCAGCATGAAGATCCTTCGCGATGGACCCGGCTCCGTAAGAAACTCAGTTTGGGATGCTCTCGTGAGAGCCTGCAGGGACTGGGCAGCAAGTTTCTCTCTGCAGGTCCGATGGAGAGAGGGGAAGGAGGGTGCGTGGGGACAAGAGGGCAGCTTGCAAGACTGCGTGGGAGCAGCAGAGGTGTAGCCAGCACCAAGTACTTAGAAATGAAATTCTTTAAGTACTTGGCACATTCCAGAAACGGCTCGATGCCCTTTACCTCAAAGGGAGCCATTCTCTATAGAACGGCGCTTCCATTGTGTTACACACGTCGCTCCTCCCGGAATGTGCATCCCAGGAGCTCACTCTTGGGACATTGACTATTTCTGTTCCCCGAGCTGGACTCGGACGGTGCGCTGCCACAGACGACCGTTCTGTTCCTGTGGCTAGTTCCGGTTCAGTCCGAGTCGGCTCAAGGCCAGCAGGGTTTAGAGAGAACTGTGCCCCAGGGTTTCCTCTTTCTTTTTTTAAAATCATTTGATTGGGGACTCATACAA